GAACAATCTGGACCATTAATTCGTGCAAATCTTCATGCTTCTTGAATAGTTTGATAAGACATAAAAAACTAAAATAAATAAGTTAATTAGTTACAAATATAATTGTTAAACTAAGTATTTGTAAATTACTATAGATTTTTTGTTATTACCTTCATTAATCTTAATTCTTTTAATGAAAATTCATCTGCGATAATTGATAAGATTCTTCTTTTTCCTTCAACACCTTTTTTATTTGTTTTATATGAATCTAATAAACAATTTGCTAATCGATTTGTAAAATTAATTGGCTTTAAAAGATTATGCGAAGGAGTTGTACATAAAAAACCATCTTTATATAAAGTATATAATGTTTCTTGATCATGTAGAGGATTTATTTCTTTTGTCCAAAATTCATTCTAAATAATAAAAAAAGTTATTATAACTTTTTTATAAAATTACAATATAATAAATATTACCTTAGATATTTTATTTTCGAATAGTGTAATATTAATACATCCTGCAGCTTTAAGAAATGCACGCCAGGTCCTGATTTCTCGATCATCAAATTCATAATCTGAAGGATAAATCTTTTGAATAACAGACCAAATTTCAATAATTCCACTTATTTTTTGAGCCCATTCAAGAAATATGCTCCACTAATTAATATTACAAAGTGTACGTCTTTTTAAATAATATAAAAATAACCTATTCATAATTTCAAAATTTGTCCAATCAGTAGATTGACATGTTGGTAATTCATGTAATTCTAATTGTTTTTTAGTATAATCGTCATTTAATCCAAAAAGTGCAGAACTATCTAATTTTTGTAAAATTTCTATTTTTTGCCAAACTTCTATAGTCGATTTCCCTTCAAATGTAGCAATAAGCATTGATCCATCAAAAATTTCTATCTTATAAAGTGTTTTTTTTCTTGTTTGTACAAATAAACAATTTTTTTTGCGATATGTATATATAAGAGATGATACAAAAATCGAATTTGTTTGATTGTTTAATGAATATATAAAGATTTGAAATTTGTTAAAAGAAACTAAAAATGGTTGAAATAAAACTCCATCTAGTAGTTGATTTATTATATTTTCATTATCTAACCCTAATTCT